CCCCCGAAAAAAAACACGACAAACAAAAGAAAACCCCCACAAAAAACAAAAGCAACAAAAAGAAAATCACTCTGCAATCACAACCATTGTTGCCATCCATCCTGCCCGTTGTGTACCGACATATTTCAGAAATCATGTGCTCAGAATCGATCAGAGAAACACAAAACCTTCAACGAAAGTTGGCCAACAAAGCAAAGGAGGGAAGGGAATGTTATTTACGCTCTCAATGCGCACACGTATAATCCAGGCACGCTCAAAATTGATTTTTTACCTCTTAATTTTAAAAAAAAGCCTTAGTACACCTTTTACGGAACTTACAACACATATAGGTCATAAAAAGTGCGGAAAATTAGAGAACCTACTAGTGGAGAGTAACATACAAAGAAAAGAAGGAGTAGAGTAAGTAAGAGTTTCAATGCAATTACAACATAATTAGGTCATATAAGTGCCATTGATTGGACGCGTTACTATAAGACAATAACATACACAGAGAAGAAGGAAGAGAGGTAAAATTGATAGATGTTAGATAGGAAAGAAAGAGCAAACTACACCAGAGCACCCAATCGAAATTGGTAGACACGGCAATAGTTTAAAAGCGATATCAAGAACTTAACAGGAGAAGTTTGAAGAACACAACCGACTTCCCTAACGTGGAAAAACAAAAATTCGACTCTTCTATTCTCTTTTCTTTATCGCACCCCTATTTTCTCTGTCCATCTGGCTGTTTGTCTGAGCTTTTCAGTTACTTTACACACACACACACACACACACACACACACACACACACACACACGCACACACACACAAACACACACACAGCACACACACAGAGATACACACACACAAACACACATACACGAGCACATACATACTTACACACCTGTATGCATTATATACGATTATACATATCAACGCGAATGTGCATGTTTCTTTTTTTTTCGCATGTCCTGATTTTGGTACCGATATTTTCAGGTTACGTAAAATGTTTTGACATGGTGCAAATTGTTATGCTTCAAGACAAACATAAGAAAACGGGAAATTATTTGTCTGTGATGATAGTGATGATGATGATGATGATGATGATGATGATGATGATGATGATGATGATGATGATGATGATGATGATGATGGTGATGGTGATGGTGATGGTGATGGTGATAGTGATGGTAGTGGTGGTGGTCGAATGCGCATATGTGAAACATAGAAACAATAGTTTGAGTAATTTCTCATGACAGAACTCACAATAACATTAATAATAATAATAATGTGGTCTTAGCACACTACAAGGAATCGAGGTGTTCGTGCATGCTACTTTGAGTTGTTACTGTTCGATCCCAAGAATCCATGACGTAATTTATGATATACAATTATGAGCACACGTCAAAGAATTATTGAATTTTCACGAACACCATACACCAGAACAGTATCAGAAAAACCTACAGAAAATTCTGATGTTCCCCTCAGAGCAAACGAGTAAAATATTGATGATAAGACAAAAAAAAAGGAATATGTTCAAAAGCTGCTGGTTATTATTATGGATCGAAAAGGAAACAAAAAAAACGAAAACAAGCACTTTATTTCTCGTTTCGTATAATGTACTTTACAGTGATGAAAACAAGCACTTTTAGAGTTTCCAATGTAAAACAGTACTGAACAAATTATAACTAATTACCTGTCTGCTAGTCTCTCTAGAGTGCGGTGTACTATTTTCAGCTAGGGTCAGCGCATCCTGTTCAATTAATAAGCAAACCTTTCAGAGCCGTCTTATTGAATTTGCTTGAAATTGTTTTTGAGGGAAAGCACATGCTTATTATACTAGGGTTATGAAAGTCTTGCACAGACATTGTGTACGTTAAGAAAATATGTCCTACGTGTGTTGTCAGGTTCACTAGCTTGTATTTTTTTTCTGTAAGAATAAAAGAAAGAATGAAGGAAAGGAAAAAAATAAGCGGGTAGATTTTTCTACGTATTTCAAGGGAGAGAATCCCCTTGAAATAAAATTAGCGATGCATTTTAATTTGATTATCTCCCTCAAGGGCTTCAAATTGTTCATTCCTCTCTTGAAATGCTGCGTTTAATTTGATTTTAATAGCCCAATGCGTTGGCTATTTGTTTTTTGTTTTTTCAGGTGTTTTTTTAAATATTTTTTTTACTGTTGCATTTTATAAAATATGGGCGAGTGCGTTTTCTATGTGAGTACACATAATATGAGGGAATCTTTCTTGCTCGACTTCTCAGTGGGTACTATTATGTTAGCATACACCCATGGTAAAAATGTCATCTTCCCATTTATGCACTGAGGAGGCCGCATGAACATTGTCTGAGGTGAGTTTACAGTTTTTGTAGTTCTTGTCTCCAGGATTTAAATTCCTCTACAATTATTGTGTCATTCTACTGCCTTGAGATGAAATTCACGGCGTCCCAGTAAACCCTGCGAGTTTGTGAGTCTTCGTGCCTGACGCAAAATGCACGATCGAAGTCAAATCCAGCAGGGCCTACTAGTAACACAATGTCCGTTGTAATTTAATGTCGATTTTTAAACTCCCCCATCGACATAATCTAGACCACAGTTACAGTTTCCGTCGCTGTTGCAATACGAACCACACTGTCAGCCAAAGTTATATATTCGATTATGGTTCACTCCTTTATTTGAGTCTTTAGAAATACAAGTTCCGATTGACACTGGTCGCTTCATTCACACCATCGCACTTTTGGATCCCATTACAAATAATGATGTTTCGTATTACACGCAGGCAAAAACAAGATAGAGAGAAAGAAACAACCGGGGGCAAGATAACAAGGGCCTACCCGAATCACTTTCCAACCATTTGAGACATGCCTTTTATATAGCAAGAAGGACCTAGGTGAACCTTAAAAAGGGGCCTGTGCGTCAGGAGTAAAATTATAAAACATGTTCATAAAAAATGCACCATTGGGCAGCATCGGTAGACTGATGGTAAGGCTCCCTGACTCATAATCCTGAGGTTGAGGGTTCGGCTCACCTCGGCCCGACGTCGGGTTCTTGGGAAAGGCCCTTTACTGGATTTTCCCATTTCTTGGTTCGGTC